AGTAAACATGTCACCAGTGTTTGTTGGAATCCATCATTTGCTCAATAGAATAATTTTTAAAATTGATAATTAAATCTCTTAAAGCTATGTGGTTTCACTATGAGGTTAGCTTACCTTTAGAGCCAGTTGCCTCATTCTCCAATGTAATTATGCATGTTAGTATTCAGTCTGTATTTGTAATGTGTTGAATAATTGCTGTAGTGACCAAAAATATAACTCCAATTACAGTGAATATACAGAGGTCCAAATCATTTTAAACAGCATAGGTCTCCTGCTACCTATCCTGTAATTCAAAATCTTGTCTCATTAGCTCAGTATCACCAGAAGTAAATTGTTATATTTCGATTTGGAGGCTTGAACCCCAGCCTTTGACTTTCGTTTACACTCAGGTGCCCTCTATAGGTGAATGCTACCATTTCTTAATCACGACAATGCAATGAAATGCCACACAATAACAAATTTCCAATTCATAGTTAAGACATATCAACCGGGTTTATCCGAACTGCAAAAAAAAGCACAACCCATAGCTGACATGAAATATCACTGCTCCTCCCAAGGCTATATGGAAATGTTAAAAATGCTTCATTTACAACAAATAAGAGATTACTTCCAATTGAGTAACACCAATATTTGTAACTAATTTTTCAAAAAATAATATGATACTTATATGTCTTATACATACTTTAATGTTGCTGCGATAAAATGGTGGATGACTATGACTACTATAGCAACTATTGTTGGATAGAAGTTCAGATCCAAGCATAATACTAATTCCAGATACAGTTTCCTGGCACTTTTTGTTCTGTCTTTTTTTGCAGCTTCTAGCATTGTAGTTTTTTTTNAATTCTCAGAACATTGTTCGGTCAGAAACAAATGCTTATGTACAAAAGGTAAATATTTTAAAATCCACTAGATAACATGGTGACTTTTGAGGAAAGGTCACTGCAACAAAGTTATTTTCCTCGGTAAATGCAATTTAACAGTCATTGCATTTTAGTAGTCATTGTGTTTGAATGATTATCTTGTTTATCTAGAGAACATATTCTGTAACATTGAACTTGCCACCCAATAGCCAGTTAGCTTGCTGCAGATTAAAAGATGCTATGCTCTCTCTGGTCCGCAGGGCAAATGTTGACCCTAGCATGCAAGATATAACATCTAATAGATTTCTATTTTTACCTAGTGCGAACTTTTTCTTTTTATATCAAAGTCAATATTTTTATCATCTTCATGTGGTCTACCAGTCTGTGGTTGGAGGCCTAAATCCCAGTCTGGTCTATCAACCTGTCATATGATGGCTGAGACATTTGAACTCATCTCTTGGGATTTAAAACAACCATGGCCAAGCCACACTGTCATTCATACATTTTGTGAAGGAAGTGAACTTTTGCCATCTTGGAACAACATTCTTATTACCATGGACAAGATTTCCCTAAAATACAGGAAAACAGTGAGAGAATTAAGTGCTAAATAATTGCTCTGCTATTTGATATTGCACAGTTGTCAAGAGTAAAGTCAGAGAATTTGTATTTCTTTAACAATGATAAAAGCATTTCTATAATGTTTAAAAGTAACTAATTTCTCTTGGATTTTCAGGTGAGTGTATAATTTGGATTGCTCCCTCAGATAATATTTTTAATACAAACTATTAACGCTTACAAAAATGATATCATGGCAATTCCATTATAATTTTTGATTTTAAAACTATTCAAAAGGTAAATGTTTATCAAAAACAATAAATCACTGACGGGGAAGAGTTAAACTCTAATTGTTCTTCTAGGTAAATCATGGGCATATGTGCATGCCAGCTTTTGAGAATACCTCATTAATATTGATAAAGTCTTTTAGGCAATTATATAAGGACAAGTTTCAGATTAGTCCAACTCAGGAGCAAAGTATAGAAGCCATCTGCTTTGTAATTACAAAAAATTGACTATGTTTTCTCAAGTTTACAGTCAGGATTTCCAAAAGATTAACTTTAACATTTGTTATATCAAATCAAAAGATTTCTATCTGGCTTAGCTGACATTTTGATTCTTGCATTCAAACTGAAGCACCGAAATTACCCAGAGCTTTCTCCTCACATTTGAAAACATCTGTTTATGAGTGAACAAAGAGCCCCTGTGTGATTACTCTAAGGAAACGGATGGATTTCCATTAAAATTCATTACCAAATCGCAGTGCAAATGGCATTGATATTTGCAGTTACAAAACTATAGAGGCATCATTCAGCTGCTTCTACTCTGAAACGTTTCGCCAAGTTCTGTCAGCCAACCCTTGGCTATTCTTACTTTATATGTGACTAATCTTCAGAATTAGAACCGCATTAAGCACAGATGAGGTTTTAAACCAAAGTACCAAGAGTAAGATTTGCAAATGGTCCTGTTGCCTTTCTATCCAGATGTGTTCATCCCCACAATCAATAATACATGGGAGTGTTTGCAGATGTTTTATTATGTCCTTGCCTCCAGTCTGCTGGTCCTACACCAAGTCCCAAATCTTTTTGTGTGTGTGTGTGTGTGTGTGTGTGTGTGAGCTTTCCTTTCCCAGTTACCATAAATCCGGCTCACTTCATTGGGGGGAACAAATCGCTGAAAAAGTTTGGAAGTGGCAGTCGGTGCAAAACAAAGAAACTTGAATGGCTGCGGGACCTGAGACGACGTGTCTTTTTAACCTTTTATCCGGAATAAGACTGAAACACTCCAAGTGCCTTCAGCCTCATTCCCTTTTCCTCTCTCACTTTGCACTCTTCCCTTCTGCACAAACCACAGCACTTGACGCCAGGCATTGTTTTGCAGTGAGAAAGAAGCTCGACCTTTCTAATCTGATCCACCAGCCTCTTCCCCCCCCCACACACACACACACCCCACCCCCCACATTGCTATTTACTGCACAATTTCCCTAACCCCAAATCTAATGTCCCCCAAAAAATCCAACGCAAGTTTTTTTTGGGGGTGTGGGGTGTGGGGAGGGGATAAATGGCGTTTCACGTTTCGAGAGGAACAAATAAATTACAGTCTTGGGGAGAATGGAAGGTCTCTTTGTGTGTGTGTGTGTGTGTGTAGAGAGAGAGAGAGTAACAACGTGACACATGGCTGTGAGTTAAATGGATGATCAGATGTGACTTAAACCACCACCAATAACCATCATTCGCTGACCCTCCTTCGCATAGTGCATTGATCCAACCCTCCAAGGCAACTTAGCTTATTATTATTTATTTTTTTTTGGGGGGGGGGGGGTTGGATTTACTGATTCCTTTGCAGAATTGTTCAGGATCAGCAGACTATCGATGAAGGTGATAAACACAAACCCACTGCTCAGAGGACAAGTCACTTCCCCAGTCCTCTTTACAGACAGAATCAAATGAGACCCCAAGTTTGCGTTCCGGATGATCTGCGATGTCACACAGTTCTCACCCAAAGCGATTAACGGTTTCCCTTCCCAGGCAATGGCAATAATAATAATAATAATAATAATAATAATAATACTGATGATGATGATGATGATGATGGGAGAAACAGAAAAGCCGGACCTTGCCTGTCGACTGATCGAGTAACATGGCCTTGTTCCTTGTTTGAGAGTTTGGCTGAGCTCAAAGCCCACTCTTGTTACCACATGGCCCACAACAACAGCTCTCTCTCTTTCTCTCTGATCCCCCCCCCCACTCTCCTCTCTCTCTGACCCCCCCCCCCCCCCCCCCCCACTCTCTCTCTCTCTCTCTGATCCCCCTCCCACTTTCTCTTTCCCCCCCAGTCTCTCCCCACTCTCTCTCTCTCTGATCCCCCCCCCCCCACTCTCTCTCTCCCCCCCAGTCTCTCCCCCACTCTCTCTCTCTCTCTCCCCCCCACACACTCTCTCTCTCTCTCTCTCTCTGATCCCCCCCTCCCACTCTCTCTTCCCCCCCAGTCTCTCCCCCCCACTCTCTCTCTCTCTCTCTGATCCCCCCCACTCTCTCCCCCCCCCCAGTCTCTCCCCCCACTCTCTCTCTCTCTCTCTGATCCCCCCCACTCTCCCCCCCCCCAGTCTCCCCCCACTCTCTCTCTCTCTCTCCCTCCCCCCTCTCTTTAATTTCAACACAATCCATTTATTTCGCACTCTTAAAAAGGTTATACAAAACGACCCCCCTCCCTCCCCCCCCCCCCCCCCCACTCCCCCTTTCCCAAGCAATGGTTATTTATACTGTGTGTTTGGCAGAGATCCGCCAACGCTCAGGAATAAATCCGCTTCGGTTTACAGTGTTGTAAAACTCTCCCCCATTGCCTCACATTGTTCCCAAACAGCAGTGCCCTCTCTGTCTCTGTGTCTCTCTCTGTCTCTGTGTCTCTCTCTGTCTCTGTGTCTCTCTCTGTCTTTCTCTGTCTCTGTGTCTCTGTCTCTCTCTGTCTCTGTGTCTCTCTGTCTCTCTGTCTCTGTGTCTCTCTGTCTCTGTGTCTCTCTCCGTCTCTCTCTGTCTCTGTGTCTCTCTGTCTCTGTGTCTCTGTCTTTCTCTGTCTCTGTGTCTCTCTCTGTCTCTGTGTCTCTCTGTCTCTGTGTCTCTCTGTCTCTGTGTCTCTCTCCGTCTCTCTCTGTCTCTGTGTCTCTCTGTCTCTGTGTCTCTGTCTTTCTCTGTCTCTGTGTCTCTCTCCGTCTCTCTCTGTCTCTGTGTCTCTGTGTCTCTGTGTCTCTCTGTCTCTGTGTCTCTCTGTCTCTGTGTCTCTGTGTCTCTGTGTCTCTCTGTCTCTGTGTCTCTGTCTTTCTCTGTCTCTCTCTGTGTCTGTGTCTCTCTCTGTCTTTCTCTGTCCCTCTCTCTGTCTCTCTCTGTTCCTATCTCTCTCTCTCTCTCTCTGAGTGCCTCTGTCTCTCTCTCTGTCTCTCTCTTGTCTGTCTGAAAGAATACCCCCAGATCTTCCCTCACTGCTGCTCGTTCCGATCTGATCGCCGTCTCTTGTGATCAGCTCTTTAAAAAAAGACACAAAACAGATGGTGAAAGACTTCGGTCTCCGGCGGCTCCTGTTTCTTACCGTACGTAGTAGAGTCGCGTCTCTCCGCTGCGTTGCGAGCCATCGTTCTGACCACTTGCAGAATTCATTCAGTCTCTGTATATGTGTGTGTGTGTGTATATGTGTGTGTGTGTATATGTGTGTGTGTGTGTGTGTATATGTGTGTGTGTGTGTATATGTGTGTGTGTGTGTATATGTGTGTGTGGTGTGTGTCTGTGGTGGAATGAAGCTCCAGAGTAACACACTGTCGCTGAGAGAAAGCGCGTCTGTGCTGTGCTAACAGCCCCCACAACCGCACACACACACTCACACTCACACACACACAGCGCTTGGCTGGTCTTTCACGTCTTGTTTACAAGAGCAAAGCGTCATCTGGTGTGCAAGAGAGAGAGAGAGAGAGGGAGAGAGAGATTGAAGCACAGGGATGGATGGATCAGGACCATGTGTAGAGAGATTAAAAAAAACACACACACAGAGGGCAGCCATAGCTCGAGAAAGAAAGCCTGGGATAACAGGAAAAGGCGTCGTTAATGAAATGAATGCATCTTTTCACACACACACACACAGTATTGTGGCTTTGAACCATGATCAGAATGAGCGAGAGGCAACACCAGAGGCTCATGTAACACAGTAGGACCCGCGTGTGTACCTTTAAGTAGTGTTTATTTTTTTAAGAAAAGTTATATTTGTCAGAGGAGTCTGTGATGTGGATCCTACTGAGTTCAATTCCAGGCAGAGGGCGAAACCTTGGGCAAGTTTCCTTACTCCACGCGCCTAATAATAATCCCTCCAAAAAACAATAATGAATTGGTCATTTTCAATCCACGACTGTTTGTGGGACATTGCTGTGCGCAATTGGCTGTCGCGTTCACCCAAAAATATACAGTCAATTCACTTTACAGTATATTCTGTGAAGCGCGTTGGGACGTCTAGAAGACGTGAAAAGCGCTATATCAAATGCAAGGATTATTATTATGATTATTATTAAGGCACTTTCTGTATAAATAACTATTTAAAAACTTAGAACAGTCATACTGTTGTAAATTGATATTTTAATCAATTGTTTTTTCAGTGAACTCCAGTTGCACTTGTGAAGAAGTCTGCATTTCTGATGGGTGTCCAGTGTGAAGGAGTATCAACCCGTAAATGATGCACTTAAGAGAAATGCACCATGTTTTTTTGTCTTCCCGATAGTGTTCCCAATCCAACAGGCTTGTCGTGTCATTCACCCAACTTGATGGGAAATCAATCATTGTGACGAGCAAATGTTTTGTTGTTTGTGAAGCTTTCTGAGTTGTCACTTGACATTTTAACAGTAAATCCGTTACTCTGTGGGAGAGAGTGGTCTACAAATTGTATAGATAACATTTTGAAGTACATTTAACTATCTCTCTGTGATGTGTACATTTGCATTGTGTTCTAATACAGAAATTTTACTTATGGTACTTCATCTTGTTTATGGTGTATGTTTATGAGATTTTTTTAAATAAAGGGTAAATAACTTGGCATTGGACGTACACTTTTCTCCCCCCCAAAATATATACAGTATTTAAGTAAGGGAGAGAAATTTCAGTGTGATTTTGGTGAACAACAATTTAGACTTTTCACTCGTGTAGAATCATACTTCTTTCATTATCGAATGTGACTTTGTGCCTTATTGTCAAGGTAAGCTTTACTTCTGCAGTCACATATCCAAGGCAAACGGTGTCCAATACACTACCAATAGTAAAGTTGTGTTTAACCTTTAGTAAGCTCCGGCACAGACTCAATGGGCCGAATGGCCTCCTTCTGTGCCGTAACATTCTATGATTCTATGATAAAGTGTATTTCACAGATCTATCATTTCGTTCTCAAATGGGCAGACTAATACTATGTTTCATAAGGGTCACTTTAAACCTGAATGTAAATAATGTTGACAGTCATATTACTGCTGCAGTGTTGGCTGATGGCTCACCTTCTGTTTGAGTTATTGCTGTGTTAAATGATCGTGAATGGCGATAACGAGATTTGCAGTTCCAGCGCCAGGTATCGAGAATTACCCAACATCATTATTTTCCAAGGAGTTTATTAATTAACATAATAATTCAGCAGTTAGCAGTTTCTACCAATTATAGAACACATTAAAGGGCATCAGTCTTTGATTTGGTAACTTCCCACGAGAAGGTGTTATCTCTGCGACCCTTTCATTATAAGTACCTTACAGGAGGTTGGCATTAAATAATGCTGGGATGTGCAAAACGATCCATTTCTAATAGATACAGATGACAGTGAAGTAACCTTGTTTCAGACACTTGAGCAGCTCAATGCGAAGGGCAAACAGGGCGATTATGCCATGTCATTAAACATAAATGGGCAATGCTGTTGCATCCTAAACCGTCTAAATCGGTGCAATATTTTACGTTGCCACTGAAAGCATAATTGTAGACAACAAGACGATCTTTAAAACGTATGGTTTTCAGGTCAGTGTTGAGAGTGGGTGTGAAAGTTGAGTGTGGGTTGAAACGACTTACTGATGACTCGCATCAATCCCTCACTGAGGAGAGTAAAAATCACAACAAAACTTGGCCCATATTGCGACTTCCCAAAGAAAACTCAGGTTGCTTACTTTTCACGTATTGCATGAACAGGTCTTCACTGCAGGTGACTGCTTTCTTGTCATGTCAGCAAACTGAACAAGGTGCACATCTGTGGCCTGTCTCAAACCTACTCTGAAACGGAGTATTTGTTTTACTGATAAGTCACATGAAAATGTTGATTTGCTCCATTTTCTCAATCTTTCTGGAGTAAATAATGGTGTGAGTGAACCGCATAGTAGGTAAGTCATGGATACTTTACCTCGTTTCTGATATTGATCACTTTCTCTGCTAACCCTTCCACTTACATATTACAGTATTATACACTACTGGGTCAATATGAGATATTTGAACAAACAAGCCAGTATCCTTATTTTCTCCAGATCTTGGGACATCCTCCCGACATGAAAGTCGCTATATAAATGCAACTTATTGTTGTATTTTCCTTGTTTCCCCTTTCTGAAATGAATCAGGAACAAATTCCTATGGATGGAAGGCCTGCAAATTCAGGCTCGGAATAAGATTTTTTTGTGGAGAGTAAGGCAAACGTTTTTTGAAAATTGGACAAATCCATTTTATTGGATTTTCCAATATGGCTCAACAAAAAGTCATTAACTTTCATAAGGAGATGGTTAGTGGCTGCATTTAACCTGAGGGGTACATTGTGTACTTATTGCTTTCTCAGCATGTCTAGGAGAGCATTTGCTGTTATAACAAAATATTTGTGATTCCTCCGTGTACATATAATGTTAGCAATAGCAAAGATTCTTTGTGGCGGAACTAGACTTGTATATTTTCAAGACATGTGCATGGCTGTATAGGTCTCAATGACATGTCACATTGCAAGAAACATTAAAGAAAGCAGTAATTCCATGTGTGCTATAGTATTTTGGCCATTATGGAGAATTATGGATCAACAACTTTTTCAATCAGTGTTCATACATAGGCTCCATTTTTTTCTTAAGAATAAATTTGACCCACAGATTTTTGAAGTGTGCCTGGATCATCTGAATATTTAGAGGGAGGAAAATCTCTATCTGTTTTTACAGGCCTTGTGAAGATAACTTATTTTTCCTGGGAGTTCATGTATTTCTTAAGAGTTTCTATTTAGTAGAGAGCAAAAAAAANTTAAGTCAGACTTCTGGCTGCTAGTCTTCTCTTGAGAGTGATTCTGGCTTGCCTTGGGATATTTTCCGGTGTTGGCAAGGTGTCCCGGTGGTTCTGTTTGAATTAATGAAAAGATGAAGTGATATGGTTTATAATGCATCTTCATTTTATCAGGCATGTGATGATATATATTCAAGATATGAAATGATCTTTGCTTCTAAGCAAATTAAGGGAAGGGATATTCTAATATGTTACCATGCCTGGTGTACGTGATATTGGAAATGACCTCAGATCTTCTCCACATAAAAGAGCTTAAAAAGGTAAAGATGTGAAAACCACAAAGCTCATCCTCCCATTCTTCTACTTAGCATAATATCATGTGAAGTCTTGTTTTGAACTACAGTGGAGGTTTCGCTGCAAAGATCTAAGTGTTGGAAATTAAAGGAATCTTTTTTAAATAATCCATTCTTTGGATACATTTTGTTTAAATAGGAATTTATCTCGAAAACAAATGTTAAACTTGGGATGAGTGTAGAGCAGGCAAGGCTTATCCACAAGGGTTATTACTGCTTTTGCTTTGTACATAAACAGATTAACAACTGGAGAATAGCCCTGCTGGAAAGAGAGATTTAATTCTCTGGAGTTAAGGCATTCTCAAAGCAGGTAGGTACCCTGACCTAATTTTAAAACAGATGAATTGAATACACATACGTTTTAAAAAGCTGGAGTTTGCATTGACTTGGAGAAGTGCAAAATAAAAGGGAATAATAAATTGTGAGCTCATTAATTAAGAAAAGCAGAGAAGAATAGATCATTCCTGCTCTAGGATAAAGTATACAGCTAAGGAATAAATAAACAGAGGTATCCCCTCTAGAATAAGATCTGAATTAACATAGCGATATAATTTGCCTTTGATTCAGAAAGAGCCCAATGGATATACACCTAGAAGCTAGCTGAAATTACAAAAGTAATCTAGTCTCTTCCTTTTCAAATGCACTGGGATCAGATAGGTTTTCATTAGGCTTTTATAAAGAAAACTTCCCCCTCTTCCCAATCCCAAAGCATCTAAATTTTTACTTTGTGCACAAGCTGTGAAAGAGAAACACTGCCAGATATCCTCAGTATCTCTTTGATTTTGGATTTATTGAAGGATTTCATGGAACACTGAGGTATCGGTCTAGTTCCCTCATTAATATTTTAAAATGAATAGACAATCCCTATTGAAACATCAGTAGAATGATTACTGGTTGTTTCTGATTAGTTGGCTTTGTTACAGAAAGATTGGATTATAGTGGGATTTCTTTTTATAAACAAGTAATGAAAAGTACTATTTTCAGAAATAAGCAAATGATGGAGCCTAATGTCATGCTTCACCAGACGAGGGAGATCTATCCTCAAGGGAATGGGCAAAGAATAACCATGGAGACCTGTCCATTTTGCTTCCAACTTGGGATTTAGA